ATGACACAAATTAATATAGCAATTTTACATTGTATATTTTATTTTCTTAAATTGTAAGATGCTTAAGAGTAAACATTTCTTTTGTAACCCCCACCTATGAACATAGTGCTAATTAGAATACATATTGATGAGCTGGGGATTTAGTTTAATGGCACCACACCTGCCTCGCAAGCTCAAGGTCCTGAATTTGATCCCTGGTACCAGGGGAAAAAATAAAAAGAATACATATTGAAAAACAATCTTGCTTATTTCCATTAATTTCTTTTTTCTCGGATCCGGGAATCAAACTCAGGGCCTTGCACTTGTGAGACAGGTGTGGTGCCAATGCTGAATCCCTGGCCCTTATTTCCATTCAATGTGAATGTCAAATCATTGTACAGATTCTCAGGAAAGGCAGAATTAACAGTTGTTCTCTTTGCAGGTTGCCTGTTTTAAATTCAATGGCTGTGCAGCTCCCACGCAGTGCTTAGGATTATCGTGTTATGGCATGATATTACAGGTACAGGTTTTAGTGAAAGCAGCAAAGAAATACTTTTGAAGTGATAACAAGTCGAGTGTGAAGGCTATCCTTCTGTAGTTAACAAAACAGAAGTTTAGGTGTTGCTTCTTTGTTTCTGAGACAGGATTTTGCTACATAGCTCAGGCTGGCCTTGAACTCACTGTGTACCCCAGGCTCCTGCCTCGGCTTCCCAAGTGCTGGGATTACAGGCGTGTGCCGCCATGCCTGGCAAATAGAAGTTATACTACTCTTAAAGAAAACAAAAGAAAATTGTGAAGTTTGAGAGTGTATTAATAGTGTTTGCCATCTCAGATTTTCTTCTTTGGTTTCTAGCTTGTAAGAAATATTTAACATTTATTTCCTCTGTGCCAATGTCCAAGTTTCCAGCAATTGTGGAGACTAGAAATGCTATGGGTTAGCACATGTGTGTTCTGATGTGTAGATATAGTGAGTTTAAGCTCTTGGTCCGGTCATTTAAGGTGTGGCTTCAGATATCAACTGTATGATTTTGAGAACATTTTTATTAACATCTTATTGTAAACAAAGCAGATAAAAATAGCCAGGTTCAGTGGCATGCTCCAGTAATCCCAGATACTTGAGAAGCTGAAACAGGAGGATCTCAAGTTCTAGGCCTCTCTAAACAACTTTGCAAGACCCTGTTTCAAAATGAAAAAAAAAAGGTGTAGAGATACAGTATTCCTGGGTTCAGTCCCAGGTGCCAAAAAAAGGAGAAAAAGATAATAAGCAGCATTTATTAAGACCTTGGTATGCTCCAGACAACAGTGTACATGCATCATCTCATTTAAAGCTGAAACCACCGCAGGAAGTGGCGCCTCCCGCCAAGGGGAATTCCTGAACTGGCCCTGTCCTGTTCACCAAGTCCTACACATCCAAGTTCCAAGACCTCCTTTTACCCTCCTCTAAAACAGATTTTTTTTCCGGGTACCAGGGATTGAACTCAGGCCCTTGAGCTCGCGAGGCAGGCTGCGGAACCACTGAGCTAAATCCCCAGCCCCAAGACAGATTTTTTTATTTTTTCAAAAAAAATTTTTTTGTACTGGGGATCAAACTCAGGTCCTTGTGCTTGCAAGGCAGGCAGCAGAACCACTGAGCTAAATCCCCGGCCCTCAATTTTTCTATGTCTCTATTTCTTTTCTTGGACTAGGAAATGCATACACAAGAATTCATGTAACATTCAAAAGTTACAAAGTTTAAAGTGAAAAGTTAAACTCCCTCTTAGGCCTGTCACTCATCTACTAACTCTTCACGAAAAGTAATCACTGTTACCAGTTTTTCTCTCCCTCCAGAGAGAGTAAGATTATTATAAGCTTTTGGTAGTAGGAACCTAAGATTAATTTTTAAACTAATGAATCCTTTTAATTATTTTAGGAAAAATTTAGGTGATTAATTAAGCTTTAAAAGTTTAGTTATAGTTGTATATCACTTGAATTTCCTTCTCATGTATGCTTAATATGTACATGTTGCAATGTTCAAAGATAGTTGTTTGTTTTTGTTTTTTGTTTTTTGAGACAGGGTCTCACTATGTAGTTGAGACTGACCTGGAACTCAATATGTAGCCCTGGCTGGTCTTGAACTCACAGCAATCCTCCTGCCTCAGCCCCCCGAGTGCTGGGATTATAGGCGTGTGCCACCACACCCTGATAAACGATAGTTATTAAATTCTGGCCCAATGAAAAATTTTTTAGTTATTCAAATCCAAGAGTCATAAATAAATGTTCAAAAATATCACATTAAAATGAGATCATTATCATTCATAAACAATATCAGCAGGGGCAGTCAAAGGTTCTACTGTCATCCTAAAACTAAGACAGTGTGAGGGAAGCATCTAAAGCTGTGGTCTAGGGGTTTGGCCTCACATTATTTTACTCATATTGTCAAAGTTCAGAATTCAGTACCATTTAAAAGTACTCTGAGGACTGGGGATTTAGCTCAGTGGTTTGGTGGCCTGCCTTGCAAGCGCAAAGACCTGAGTTCAATCCCCGGTACCAAAAAAAAAAAAGTACTCTGAGCCGGACGTGGTGGCACACATGGGAGGCTGAGGCAGGAGAATTGCTGTGAATTTGAGACCAGCCTGGGCTACATAGTGAGTTCCAGGTCAGTCTCAGCTACACAGTGAGACCCTGACTCAAAAACAAAAATAAAAACAAAACAAATGCACAAAAAAGTACTCTGAAAAGATGCTTTCTTTTTGGGTTGGGGAATTAGCTCAGTGGTGCCACTGCCTGCCTTGCAAGTGCAAGGTCCAGAGTTCAATCCCCAGTACCAAAACAACAACAACAACAACAAAGATACTTCCTTTTCAACCAAAAAGAAACTGGTTTTGGAGTATATCTCGGTTTTGATTCTGTGAATTTCATATTAATTTAAACGGCTCCATTGTGGGTTAAAAACCACATGGTAGTGTTTGCTCATGAAGGAGTGAGTAATGGCTTATATTTTGACTTGTCATCTGAACATCTTCAATGTTTCCTTTATTTTTACCTTCCTCAGACCTTGACAGCAGGTTGGGATGAACATGAATGCCAGCGTGTTTATAACTTCTTATGTGAGTTGACCGACCTCTCTCGCAAGATGCAGGCTGCTGTCTGTAGCAAACCAGGTAAAGAACTGTAATTCACAGATAATATCATACAGAGGTTAAAAATAGGCATGCCAATAAGCCAATAGTCTGGGAGGCTGAGGCAGGAGGATCTCAAAAATCAAGCCCACACTGGGCAATTTAGTGACAGTGAGTCCTTGTTTCAAAAGTTAAAAAAAGAATTTTTTAAAAAACTTGACAGCCAGGGATTTAGCTCAGTGGCACAGTGCCTGCCTTGCGAGTGCAAGGTCTTGAGTTGGATCCCCGGTGCTGTAAAAATAAATAAACTTTTAAAAAAAGTTAAGCTCCAGATTTAGCTTAGGACAAAGGCCCTGGAGAATAAGCTAGGAGAGAGACAGTACAGTGGGCCCTTGACTTACAAACTCAATTCATTCCCAAGGGCTCTTTGTAACTCAAGTTGGTCAGTGAAGGCTCAGGCTCCTCCACACGACCCTCCAAGTCTCTCTCCTGCACACAGGCAGATCTCAGCGTCCTAGAGAGACACTGGCCCAGGACTTCTCAACCCCACGCAGGAAAAGATGCTGTCATGTTCCTTCCAGAGCTAAGGGTTAAATCTGTATCTGAGACCATCTGGAAACACAAGCATCTGGCCCTTAAGTCATCACTCTAGACTTAAAATTCCGGCCATAACCCTAGTTGTTCATATGTAAGACCAGTTGTAACTCAAGGGTCCACTGTGGTTTACAAACAGTTTTTGGCAAACAACATTATTTGGTCCTCTGAAGGTATTTTTCAGATTAGATGGTCATTTCAGTCAGTAGACTTTGAGTCCAGCAGATTTGCCCTCTTGGTGTGGGGCTCTCGCGAGGTCCGGTAAGAAGGGTTCCACAGGCACCACAGATGCCCTTGGATCCAGCAGGCCGTGCCCGGTCTCCAGAATGCCAGGCTGCCTGCGGGTTTCAGACTCATCGGACCACCGGTTCCTTCAGATAAATCCGTCCCATTCTCTCCACCCCACGCGTCTATGTGAATGATCAGTGTACAGGCATCACGTGTTCATGTGACTCCCTCAGGAAGCTGACAAGGAGGATGGAAAATTCCTGGCCAGCATGGGCCGTGGAGCCAGATCTTGTCTCAAAATAAACAGGGCTGGGGGTGTTGCCCAGGAGTGGAGACTCCTGGGATCCATGCCCATTATGGGCCAGGGGCTTCAATGTCTATGTTTTGTTTAAAATCTGAAGTAAGTGTAGCAAAAAGTGAAGTTCTGACAAAGCTAGAAGTGTTCACAGTGTTTGTTATGGAACTTCTGGTTTTCTATCAACTGGAAATATTTCATTATAAAACAAATTATAAATCAAAAAGGCAAATTTTGAGGGGTTTTTGTTTTTGTTTTTTTGTTGGTTTGTTTTTTTGAGGCAGAGTCTCCCTTCTGAACTCACTATGTAGCCCAGGCTGGTCTCAAACTCATGGCAATCCTCCTGCCTCAGCCTCCCGAGTGCTGGGATTACAGACATGTGCCACCACGCCCGGCTGGCATTATTAATTTTTTAAAATTGTGGCAAAATATGTAACATTAAAATTGCCATTATAGCCAGGTGTGGTGGTGCACCCCTGTAATCCCAGCACTCAGGAGGCTGAGGCAGGAGGATCGCTGTGAGTTCGAGACCATACTGGGCTACATAGTGAGTTCCAGGTCAGTCTCAACTACGTAGTTGAAAGCCCTGTCTCAAAAAACAAAAACAAAAAAATTAATAATGCCATAAAAATTTAAAGTATACATTTTATTTTTTTGGTGGTGGAGATCGATCCTAGGTCCTCATAGATGATAACCACATGCTCTGCCATACAGCCACATCCCCCATTCATATTACAAACTTTAAACTACAGAATTGTACGGTGTGTAAATTATATTCCAATAAGCTCATGTGGCGTGTGTGTGTGTGTGTGTGTGTGTTGTGTAGCTCAGGCTGGCTTTGAACTCCCCATCCTCCTGCCTCAGCCTCCCCAAAAAACATAATGAGATCCCATTTTACGTCTACTAGGGTGGCTAGAATCAAAAACTTAGACAGCAAATGTTAACAAGCACAAGGAGACATCAGAACCCTCTTGCTGATGAGAATGCACAAAGCAGTTTGCAGTTCCTCAAGCGATTAAACACAGACACCACAGGACCCAGCATCCCTCCCAGGTCTGCCCACCGGAGAAATGGAAACATATTCACTGAGTGTTAGCAGCAGCGTTAGTTATAGCAGCCAAGATGTAGAAATGGCCCCCATCCCCGTCAGTGGGTGACGGGTAGGTGAACTGTCCATCCATACGAGGGCGCAGTGCTTGGCCGTTAAGAGGGCAGATGCAGGCTACAGCGTGGGTGAGCCTGGGAAGAGAAGGCCGCCGCAGAAATCACGCACTGTGTGCTTTTACTCACAGAAATCCAGAAGGCTGAACTCTAGAGAGGCAAAAGGTACATTACTGGCTGCTCAAGCCAGGGGTAATAAAGTTCCAAGAGATAGGGGGTGATAGCTAAAAGGAAAAAGGAGTTTTTGAAATGATTACAGTTTTTTAAATTGACTATGGGGATGGCTGCATGTATCTGTGAGCACACTCAAAACACTGTGAGGGGTAAACTGTATGGCATGTGGATTCTATCTCAATAAAACTAAAGTTTTATGGAAGAAAATGGAGCAATGCTCTCAGAACACAGTATATTGGTGATATTATGTCTTTGATGTGCCTGCACACTTATTTCTTTTGAAATCTAAAATTGCACAAGAGAAGCCAGGAGTGGTGGCGCATGCCTATAATCTCAGCACTTGGGAGGCTGAGGCAGGAGGATCGCTGTGAGTTCAAGACCAGCATGGGCTACACAGTGAGTTCCAGAGCAGTCTGAACTACATAGTAAGACCCTGTCTCAAAAAAACAAAAATTAAAATTAAAATTAAAAAATTGCACAAGAGAGGTAAACTTAAGCATGATTTTTCTGTTTTGTTTTGGGTTTTTGTTGTTGTTGTTTTTTTTGGGGGGGGTTGAGACAGGGTCTCACTATGTAGTTGAGACTAACCTGGAACTCACTATGTAGCCCAGGCTGGTCTCAAACTCACAGCAATCCTCCTGCCTCAGCCTCCCGAGTGCTGGGATTACAGGTGTGAGCCACCATGCCCGGTTTAAACCTGTGTTTTGACCGGTTCATTATTCAGAGTATTGAATAATAAGAAGAGGGGCCAGGGATTTGGCTCAGTGGTTCAGCTGCCTGCCTCACAAGTGCAAGGTCCTGAGTTCATTCTCCAGTACCAAAAAAAAAAAGAAGAAGAAGAAGATAAGAGTAAGAAGATCTTTGAACTTCAAAATTAGGGCAGTTGCTGGAGATTTAGCTCAGTGGTTCCGCGCCTGTCTTGCAAGCACAAGGACCTGAGTTCAATCCCGGTACAAAATTAGGGCAGTTTAAGAATGATTTCTTGGTGACTTCCTGTTCAGAAACCCAGTTCATGATTATTATCTAAACCACAATCGTTAATGTGTCTCTCTGATCATCCAGTGTACAATCTGCCTTTCTAGAAAAACGGCTGGCAATTTTTGTCTTCCCAGGAAGCGCCCGAAAGCTGGAGCTAAGGATCAGACTGTTCTGCAGGAATGTCCTGCTTGATCACTGGATACATCAAAGCGACTCCGCTTTCTGGCTGACACGCATATTAAAACCATGGCCAATGGTGAACCAGGCACGGTTACTGTATATCATTTTCGGGCCAACATCGCCTCAGGATGGTGAGCACCTAGTTTTCAGGGATGTGTGTTTTGTATTTGGTGGGTTTCATGATTCCTAATGACTCAGGGCTGCTTCATGATTTCGTAGGTGCATGCTACATTAACTCATGCAAACCTAAGCTTGAAGGCAGAAATTGTTCCGCTGTAACTCATTACCAACTATATTTGTCGTCCCAATTTTGCCTGAATAGCTGCTTTTCAGTCTTAAACATTATCGTTTTCTCCTTGGTGTTTTTTGGTTTTGTTTTTTGAGACAGGATCTCACGCCGTCATTCAGGCGGGACTTGAACTCACTGTGTAGCCCAGGCAGGCCTCTAACTCCTAGTGATCCTCCTGCCTCAGCCTCCTGAGTGCTGGGATTGTAGGCGTGCACCACCATCCTTGGCTTAGTGGTAAACATTATCTTAAGTCGAGGTTATATTTGCCATTGGAGAGAACTAAGGGCTGGGAGGCATAGTAGTGCTCAGACTTAGGCTTTACTTCACCTTAGTGTGATTTTCCCCACATCTTTCTGTACTGGTTCATACTGGATATACAGATTAATAGGCTGATCTGGGCGTAGTGCTGCACACTGCACACCTAAGTGTACAAGAAAACAGGAATTTTTGGTTGTTTTGTTTTTGCAGCACTGGGGATCAAACCAGCTGAGCTACATCCCCAGACCTTTTTAAATTTTTTTACTTTGAGGCAAGAATTTGGCAAGCCGCTAAATTGCTCAAACTGGGCTCAAACTCACAATCTGCCTATCTCAGCCTCTCGGAGTGTTAAGATTACAAGCACTTGCCACCACACCCAGCTAAGCTGTAACCAATTTAAAGTATGTTGAGTAACAGCAGAGAGTCAATCTGGGGTTAAAGTTTTCTTGTATGGCTGGATATGGGGTTACATGCCTATAATCCAACTACTCAGAAGGCTGAGGCATGAGGATTTCTTGAACTCACAGGTATGAGACCAGAGGGCAGCCTAGGCAACACAATGAGATCCCCTTCTTAAAAAAAAATGTTCTGTGCATTAGCCACACAGGTCATTAGCCATAAGTGAATAATCCAGAATTGACTGAATTGCTCTGTTTTAATATAAATGTTTGAAAAAAAAATATATATATATAAATGTTTGAAAGATTCTCAAATATAGCCTGCTCTGTTTTCAGAGGAGGATATCAGAAGTTTTTATTTTGCTTTAGTAAGGTTATAGCAGGTGCTCATTCCAATTTCTGTTAGGGGGTCAGATCATCTTTGAACCAAGAGTACCATTCTATGTGTTTTTTTACTTTGTTTAGCTATTGTTTCTGTGTTTTATCATAGCAGTAAGAAACATTTTTTGTTTGTTTGCTTGTTTGGTTTTCAGTTTTTAAGACAGCGTCTTACTAGATAGCCAGGCTGTCCTCAAACTTACAGGAATCCTCCTGCTTCAGCTTCCCAAATGCTGAAGTTACAGACATGCGTCACCGTACCTGGCCACAAATACCTAAATTTAAACGGCATGGCGGTACATGCCTGTAATCCTAGTACTTGTGAGGGTGAGGCAGGAGGGTCGCCAAGAGTTTAAAGCGTGTTTGGGCTACCTAGTGAGATTTTTATTTGTTTGTTTGTTTTGTTGGTTTTTTGTTGTTGTTTTTGTTTTTGTACCAGGGATCAAACTCAGGACCTTGCACTTGCAAGACAGGTGGCAGCACCGCTGAGCTAAATCCCCAGCCCCATAGTGAGTTTAAGGACAGCCTGAACTACATAGTGAGACTCTGTCTCAAAAACACAAAAAATAAGGGCCAGGGGTTTGGCTCAGTGGTTCCGCCGCCTGCCTCAAAAGCACAAGGGCCCAAGTTCAGACCCCAGGACCAAAATAAATAAATAAATAAATAAATAAATAAAAAGAAGCATTTAAATGTATACTGTTACCAGCGTTGACTTTTTATAAATAATGAGTTCACATTATGCAATCCTCTTCCTCTTCCTTTTCCTCCTCCTTCTGTTTTTATAGTGCAGGAGATTGAATCCAGGACCTCACAAATGCTCCACCGTTGAGCTCTATCCCCAGCTTTTAAAAAATGTTTTATTTTAAGACAGGATCTTGCTAAATTACCTGAACTGACCTCGAATTCAACAGCCTCCCACAGAGTAAAAAGACCAATAAAAGTGATTAGGTGCATTTGTACCACCAGTAGTACAAGCTGCGGGACAGCACAGCCATGTGTACCGCCAGTGGTTCAAGGTGACCCGACTGTGTTAAACGATCCCTGAAATCTTTCTCACAAAGTGAACCGTTCCATCACAGCCATGTTTTTGTCTCAATTCAGGACTGGTGGTTTGGCAGAAAATGACAGAAGGCCCTACGGATGAACACAGTCTGAAAGGTTTGGCTGATGCTATTAAATTACTGTACGACACAGGTACCAGAGAGTGGACAGCAGACGATATTATCAGTCTTATAGACGAACTGTCAGGTAAAATATGTATTTGCTAATAGAGAGTAGTAAAGATTCGCTATCAGACTATGGTTATAAAAGAGTAAGGACAGGGCAACAGGTAAAAGTGAAGGGCCTGTTAGAAATCACTGACTGCTCCAAAGTGCTTAGGGTTTAGCACTACATGGAGGAGAATGTATGTACAACTTTATTTCAGAAATACACATTTACCATTATTATTCCAAGCTTTAAGCTGGGTGTGGTGGCACACGCCCGTGATCCCAGCATTCAGGAGGCTGAAGCAGGAGGATCACTGTGAGTTCAAGGCCAGCCTGGACTATGTGGTGAGACCCTGTCTCAAAAAACCAAAACCACGGGGATTTAGCTCAGTGGTGTTGCCACCTGCCTCACAAGCGCAAGGACTCGAGTTCTATCCCCGTTACAAAAAAAACAAAAACAAAACACAAAGCTTTAGTTTAATTAGGTCACTCATTCCTATTTCACAGTCCTTGGAAACACCCATCTAGGTTAGGAAGAAAGCCCCCTGCTGCTGGCACAGGACGGGTGAAACCGCTTTCCCCTGCCTGCGTCGCACTGTGGGTCCCGAAGTGTACACGGCTCCCCGCTTACACGAGATGACACGCGATTACACGCGCTGCCTGCCGACCGCCGTGCAGGGGAAGCGCTACGCTGTGACTGTCACTTCCCCACCTGTGCGAGCCCCTCAGCGTCCCAGCAGCCTCTGTCTCTGGGCGAGCGCTGGTGCGGGTATGTCACGGTGTTGGCCATGCTGCTGTGTGATTTCTCAGCGACCCCTCTCCGTCCTCCCCAAGTGGTACCCCGAGAGTGGCTGCTGGAGAACAACGCGCACCTCCTGATCCTCAGTGGGAACAACATCTGCTTCACATTCATGGCCAGCAAGGCTGTGAACGGACGCACCCTGGAGCTGGCTCGGCTTGTGGTCTTCTTGGCCTTGGTGAGTAAAAGCGAAGGTTTTCTGCTCGTAATTCTTTTCACATTGCAGCGGGGCAGGGGTGCCGCTCAGCGGTGGAGGACTGCCGGCATGCACCAGCCCTGCGTTCCATCCCCAGCATCACAAAAATGAAGGTAGAAACAAAACGGAAGCAATCACCTACCAGGGAGCTGTCACAGGGACTGAAATGTGCAGGAAACCTACCGAAAAAGTGTTATTTAATGTTCTTTTCTCAGAGTATAGAGCGTCTCAAAGTGGTAGAGCTTTTGCCTGGTCCCCTTCAGCACATGCTTTTTTCCCCAGGACTGCAAAAATGGAACATAACATACATGCCATAAACAATAGTATTTGGAATCATCCCTTACAGGAACTTCCTCCCATGTCACACCTGGCTTGTCATTATATAGCTCTGCCAAGTCATCCTTTTTTTTTCTTTTTTTCTTTTGGTTTTTGAGACAGGGTCTCACTACGTAGTTAACACTGACCTGGAACTCACTATGTAGCTCAGGCTGGTCTGGAACTCACAGAGATCCTCCTGCCTCAGCCTCCTGAGTGCTGGGATTACAGGCGTGTGCCACCACGCCCCGCCCGGCAAGTCATTCTTTTTTAATTCCACTTTTTCAGTGCTGGAAATTGAACTTGGGGCCTGGCCCATGCTAGCTGAGTGCTGTGCCGCGCTAACCTGAAGCTCCATTTTGAAGAAAATACTTGTTTGATTTGTTTCAAAATAACCAATGTGGGCTGGGCATGGTGATCCATACCCGTAATCCCAGCTCTCAGGAGGCTGAGGCAGAAGAATCGCCGTGAGTTGGGCGCCAGCCTGGGCTACATCATGAGTTCAAAGCCAGCCTGGGACACATAGTAAGACCTGGTCCCAAAAACAAAAACAAGGAAAGAAAGAGCAACTGGGAGGTAGAAGAAGAGTACAGAAGTAAATGAGCTTAGGGTTAAGACAAGATTGGTAATTGTTATTAATATTTTATCGTTATATTATTCTTTCTACTTCTGTGTAATCGATTTATTTTTTGTTTGCTGTTCCCTAGCTCAATCAAATCCAGAGTCTTGCATGTGCTAGGCAACTACACTAGCACTGAGAGCTATACCTCCAGCTCTAAAATTTTCAAAATAAAAAGATTTTAAAATACATTTAAAGCCAGGCTTGGTGCACATACCTGTAATCCCAGGGCTCTGGGAGGCTGAGGCAGGAGGATCACAATTTCATGCCCAGCCTGGGCAACTTAGCCAGATCCTGTGTTGGATTCCACCCCACCCCTCCTACCCAGGATCCAACTCAGGACCTTGCACTGGCCAGGCAAGTGTGGTGCCACTGCTACATCCCAGCCCAGTCCTGTCTTAAATGTAAATCTGTCGGGAGCTTACTGCGAGCTCTAAGCTATACCAGATTCTAGGAATGCGGAAATGAACAGAATATATTTCTGATCAAACATAGCTTACAAGACTTTGAGAAATACTGAAGCATGCAGTATACATAAATAAACTCAGTGAGATATGTGCAAAAATATATATAGAAAGGGAGCCCGGGAAAGTGGGGTAGCGGCCTCCTCAACTGGAGTTTTAAAGAGACCGGAGGCCGGGGATGTAGCTCAGTGGTTCCGACGCCAGCCTTGCAAGCGCAAGGACCTGAGTTCAGTCCTCGGTACCATAAATAAATAAATAAAATAAAAAGAGAACCGGAGGCAGTCACCGGGCAGAGAGTGGGGAGGAGTGAAGCCACAGGACGCTAACGGGGCTTAGTACACATGCCGTCATCACCGTCGCCATCGTCAGTGGCAGGGCTGGAAGGCGCTGGGCCGCCTGCTCTCTGGGCTGTGCTCCCCTGAGCTGGCTGCTCGCCCTGCAGGTGCTCAACCCAGATCACAGGATGCATGGAGGAGCAGGAGCCTTGCTTTCCAAGCACTCCTTGGCTTTTCAGTATTGCTCCTTAGTCCACGGGTTACACTCTGAAAACCCTAACCCAATTTTATTTCCATTTCCCCCTAAAATTGCACCATTTGAAAGCAAAGGCCCTCAAGCTCCAAGAGCAGCCCCCCCATTACCTCCCACAGGCAGTGGCCGTTCCCAGACTGCAGCTGATGCTTGTGTGTGTACACCAGGTGTGCGAGAAGGAGTTCTACTGCATGGACTGGGTGGTGAGGATGATGCACAGGGTCTGTCACACCTTCAGCACGCCGGGGGAACGCATGAACTTCCTGGAGAAAGTGGCCAACATGTTTGCCTTCGTGACGGTGGAGATGCTGCAGTCAGTGATGTCTGGTGAGTGGGGGCGCAGGTGTGGCATGGGGGTGGGGAAACGCATCCCAGCGTCTACTTCAGACAGTGCTGGTGAGTAGTGAGTCGTGTGGTATGCACCTGCCATCCCAGGAGGTTGAGGCAGGAAGATCGCTGTGAGTTCGAGACCAGCCTGGGCTACACAGTGCGTTCCAGTTCAGTCTGGACTACATAGTGAGACCCTGTCTCAAAAAAACAAAGAAAAAAAAAACAATAAATTTTTTAAAATTTGTTCGCTCACCAACCACCATAGTATTAGATCTTACATTTGTAGTTTTCAACAAGTATTATTTTATAGTTTTATTGGTGGCCCACATCATAAGGAACTCTATTTTATTTATTTTACTTTATTGAGATACGGTCTCACTATGTAACCCAGGGTGGCCTCAAACTTGTGGTGACCCTCCTGCCTCAGCCTCCCGGGTGCTGGGATGACAGGTCTGCGCCACCACACACGCCCGGCAGAGCCTGTTTCACAGATGAGAACAATAACCCTTAGAGAAACTGCCCGACTTGCCCGTGGTGTTTAAGTTAGGAGTAATAAAGCAGGGACGGGCGCCCATTCCGGCTGCTTTCCAACCCAGTGCTGACTGACATCCCCTCCCCACCCTGTCCCCCGCTGGCGCAGGAGGTCGCGGTGAGGACGACAACAGAGGCTTCCTGAGCCTGTTCCACCTGGTGCAGGCGCAGGCCAGCTTCCACAAGGAGGTGCTGCGCCTGGCCCTGGACTCCCCGCCCTGAGCGCTCCCACGGCGGGCACCGCAGCGTCCCGGAGACCGG